CAAAATACAGATACAGTAAGGAATGTGACGGAACATCATTTGAACGAATGAGGCACCCGCTGGCCTATTTTTCGAGTTGCCTAACAGCTTCAGTAAGTCGGTATCGTCTACGGGGACTATTTACCTTGATACCTCATCATTCGAAGTTAGATAAGGTCCTAAGGTGTGACAATGCAAATAGTGAACCGCGTTGGTCAGCCCTTCTTCTTCAGTCGTTTACTTTCATTCGCTGCAGAACGCTACAAGCTTTTCGATAGACAAACTCAACTTCTCTTTACCTCTCCGGGTCCGCGGTATGTGAGGTTTGCAAAACAACTTGTTTACCCTTTTCTGAATATTGAGAAAAGCTGTTATGACGCCTCACATTTTTAATACCCGGAAATCGATCGAGCTGGGAGTATTACTAAAAATCCATCGACTAGTTCGAGTCACGTGATGTCGATACTTCGAAAAACAGACTGGTGAAAAGTGCAAAAGGCTGACTATGTACTTAGGGGCAATTTCACATTGCAGAGACGTAGCGCGATCGACATCTGGTGGTCAAGTGTTTTGATTCTTCAACGATCTTCGCATATCAACATAATCCTCTATTTCTTTTTTAAAATCTTTTCTGTTTCTTAAAATCTTCTGAAACTATTTAGCTTTGCTCACAAGCGTTTCGTTGAATTCTGCTCTTTTCATTATCTTCAACATCTTTCAGTGTTTTTTTTCAGCTAGGTAATTTTACTTTTCCATCAGCATGGTGGAGAAGGACGAGAACTCCTGCGATGAAGGATGCCAAAAATTTCGTATTGATGTTGTCATACAAAACTTAGAGGCGTCATCTGAATACCATAAGGAAGACGTCGAATTAGTATACTTCATTGGTGCCTACGAAGAGTTGAATAAGTAAGCATTTGGAGAAATAAATAACTTATTATCTGAAAGATGTTTATGTTCCTTCCAGGTTCATCGGTCTGTTGGGGAAGATTTTTCATTTTGTACAAGCAGATGTCCGAGAGAAAACCAACAAATTACTTGATCTTCGCAGAAAGAATCCGGATTCTTATCGCAGCGTGAAATCCATGGTAACCTTTGAGAGCAAGCAGCAGCACTACCCCGGCTCGAAAGCGCTTCTCGGCCTTCACAGGTACGTAAAATTTTGTTTTGTCGCCTATTAAACGGTGTCAGCTTCAAGGGTTCACAAGAAATATTGAGGATGACTCCTATATTACTACAACTGATCCAAAATAAGGGAATCAGAATATGCCTGGGTATCTGAACATTTATTTACCTCATGTTCAATATACAAAATGGCTATCCACTAGACGCACGTTGCACGATTTCTGAACCTAGGAGTAGCTTCGTTGTGTTCTTTTCGGACTTCTTTCACGGTATTTGCAAGAAATGCGTATAGTTCGAGGTAACGATTGTTTGAAGGACTCGCCTGGCCGATTTTGTCCGCGCGGGGCAAAAGGGACTGCGTGGGACGAAACACAAGGTCGATGTCCAACCGTACTTGTTTTAGAAACTAACGTCTTTGAGAAACTCAAAAATGTCTTTCCTCCTTCGCTGAGAAAAACTTCTAAACAATCAGTGCTAATGGAGGAGCTGTAATCTTCTTAGTAAAGAAAACGAAATGGAAAGGCATATTAAAAATCGTTAAAGACGCTTAACACTATAACGAGTTCCTTGAGTCATCGACTTCGGGACGTTAATAAATCTGCGTGGGCGTCCTAGCCAATGTACGAGAGCGAGTACAAGTGCGACAACAAGCCGCATCGTTCTCACTTTCCTCATCAATGAGTAAATATAAGTCTAAATGAATAAGGTGTTGATAGGTTTGAATGTGGGCAGGTTCTATTCTTCAAGTGCATAGGTCGTGGCTTCGCACGAGAATTATCGAATTCGTAGAAAAGCCCACCGAGATAAGGTACTATGACTTCTCCTTTTTCTTAGAGCCGCGACTTTTACAGTCACTTGGGCCTTCCAATATGTCCAATAGAGACGAAGTGTCAGCATATGGTCAATTATGGTACAAAAACTGAGCTAAACACTGGCTCCATTTCCAAACCTTTTTCTACGGGCATTACTGTTTTGGCATTCCCAAATGCTTATTTATGTATGCCATTTCAAATATCAGTTGACAATGGGCTTTGATCCAGGACATCGTGTTAGATGGTCACTCTCGTACTCCTATTGTCGTTGTTAAGCGCAAACTTTCAATTCTCCCCAAACTTTTTCCTAGTATTATTTTCAATGTGCAGTAGGACTTGGTGTGAAAGACAGCGGACCCAAGTTCTGACAGGCTTTTCTGAATTTCTGCATATCATAGATATCCTCAGGGCTACGTTTATTTTTTATTTTTATTTTTTGTATTATATGTGTCTTTTTTAAGGGCGCTGGAGTTCATTGCATCCTTCATCTCAGGCTTAGCTGAAAGTACTAATGAGGATAGCGTGGCTTCAATTTGTCGCAAAAGCTACGAGGAGACGTTGTCCAGGTCTGTAATTCTCATTTACTTTTAGAATTCATGAGCATATTCTTATATGAACTAGTGGTTTTACTTCCTCGTCTTCCGCGAGGAGCGGAATCGCGCTCATGCATGCTGCATTAATGGGTTGAATGGTTCATCATAGATAGAGCCCTCAACACATGTTTTTCGACCTGCATATTTTTATCATCGCAAGTGCTTTCCTCGCAGACGCGATTTTCTTTGCGCTCATCATGATGAGCCCTTTTTTGCAGACGTGGACATGATTTGCGAGGGTTCCAGACTATTTGAAATGAACAGTCAATCCAGTGATTACTGCAAAAAAAAAAACTCATGACGAAGGCGTTATCTGTAGCGTTTAGTATCGCATTTGTAGTCTTTAAGATTTTCTCAATCTTTCCGATATGGTATGAGCGTGACGAGAGCTTATGTTTTTTTGTTGAGCACATTTTCTAGGTACTAACTGATAAACGCAACTTCGTTAAGGTTTCACAACTGGATGCTGCGGAAGGCCGTCAGTTTGGCATCATATACTCTCCCCTCTCGCGGACAACTCATCACGTCCATTCAAGGTGACCTACCCGAAGACGATCACGTTCGCACTGTTCTCACTGATGTTGTATTTAAAACGCAAGTTGTCTATAACCGTGTCAACAATATTTACTCTGAGTATGACCTCCATTCCCTGTTGTGATTTGTGCCTTATTCTTGATTACGTCCACTGCATTTCAAAGTCTTTGTTATAGTGCACTTACTATGACTTCAAAGTGTATAACGTCTTTCCACTTCCAAATCTTCATCAGCTTTATAGTTTCAGTCAACTTCCCTTGCCATTTGCCATGATCACGTTGTACTTAGTCCCTTAATTCTATTTTTTTGCCTAAAATTTACTACATTTGTACATTAGTTGTCATAACCAATCTGTTGATTATGGAACAAGGTTTTTTCTTCATTCATTTACAGTGTGAGTAGGAGTCCTATATCCAATACTTACTTGAGTCCATCCAAAGTACACGCACAGCACATCCACTCGTAAAAATCTTGAATCGAAGGATGTCGTCAACCTCTGACGATTGGAGTACAACTTGTGTGCAGAGTCTCCCTGTCGGTTGCGTGGCTTTTAATCTTACAAATACGTGAGTTTTTTTTCACGATAGCGGTAAGAATGTGAGGAAACTTTTGGATCAGAGCAATATCTTTAGCAGCCCAGGAGCGTTCCTTTGTTCCAGTTCCGCGTAGGGAATCGAAAATGTTTACTTGCAATCATTTGTTCCTTCCCACTAATCGAATACTTTGTTGCCTTTTTCTTTGCTCCTAAAATAACTTTTGCAATTACATTTTGAAAAACAGATCGGTGGTACCCTATTTAGTATGGGTCATGATATTTGCGGTGACTTAACGTTAAATGGTTTTTTCCATCTTTCGTGACATTTCGCGGGTTGCACAAAATTGGTGTTTGAGGCGCGCGCTTCAGATTTTCACAGTGTGAGGTCATCCGTGGATCTTCAGTGAAGGATTGAACGGTGTTTCATTTCCTTTCAGGCTGGATTAGCATACAGTTTAATGGCATAGGTAATATATAATGCCTGTCATCAAGTACTAGTTTGGGTTACATTTATGTTATCTCTTTCCTTCTGTGGTTTTTGCGCGGAAAGGGAAGTTGACAGTTTGATGGTAAATGTCTTCCTTACAACAAAATGATGAGCTTTACAGTACAGCTTTTGTTTGCTAATCGGTTATGAGATAGCCCATTCTTCCCGGGTTTCTTATATTCCCGGTATAGGCGAAACAACTCAAGTTGAAATTGTGTGATAATAATAGGACCTGGAATTGAACTAAATCTTTGGGATGTTTTGCTCAAGTTGCTAGACGTTGTTTGCCTTTTTTTTCAATGGCAATTCAGCTTCCTTCTAGAATCCTATAACAGCGTTCCATTGCTGCTACAAACATTTGTTCATATGCTACCATCTCACTTGTAAACTTTAAGCTTTATATGGACTTTTCTCATAGTTCTTTTTCTACAGTGTTACTGCTACCTGCGCAGGATGCTTTTGTATCCTGTACACGACATCCGATGGGAAGCGCAAGGCAACGTTAGAGCACGCGAATGATTTGGTGTCAGCATTTTTCGTTGAGCAAGATAAGGTATAATTAGCTGAATCTAAAAGCTTAGTCGTTGTGTTTTACATGTTTCACGGGATATGCCACATTTTCAGTTGATTACCATGACAAAGTGTGGTGAAATGCTTGAATGGACCAGTTCGGGGAATACATTTTTGCAAATATCCTCTCACAAGCTCACTAATTTTGTTGTGAAGTAAGTGCTTGAGAAACCACAACTCAACTTTTCTTTTATATGGGTGTTTTCAGGAAAGCATTTTATCTGCGTGAGGAAGAGCGATGTGTGTTAGTTGTTGACCACGAAACGCACATCACTATTGAAAACGTGATGCAAGACAGATCTCTAACGCAAATTGCACAGCTTCCTGCTGGGCTTAGCTCCGAACAAATCTCAGTGACGGTCGGTTCCCTCGTACTTGTGCTCTCATTTTTGGACACATCGATGAACGAGGCGGCTTTTATTTCAGAGCAGTTTTGTAACCTACTGCAGCGGTAAAGAAGTTTTTGCCATTCCCACTGACGAAAATCCTGTGGTCCCTGCTAGCTCCTATGTTTGTAAAACTCATATCGAAGGTGTGCCTTTTTTTGAAGTAACCCACTATGCGATTGAATACGGAATTCCAGGGTTTGGGGATCGGAACGCAGCTAATGTTTTCGTGCGAATCACTGCTTTGGGCGATACAATTGCAGCCACATTATCTATTGGAAGAGTTTACGTTTGGTTCGAAATCTGTTGATTTATGTTATACACAGACCCTCACCGTACAGCTTTGTATTCTTTTTTATGGAAGACCATTCCCGCTTTGCTTCTATACTCTTGATGTAATGTAATACAGTCAGCTGAGAAGTTGAAGGGGAGTACTCAGACACTAAAGCAAAAGTCGGCCAGCTTTACCCTTGAGCCGGACTACGAAGCTTGCGCTTATTGTAGCTCTTATAGGTCGCACGTCTCACAGAAAGGAATACAGGACTCAGCTTTTTCAGTTCATTGGCATAAGGTTAGTTTTTTCTGTCTTACTATGCCTTTAAGAAGTAGTGTAGAGTTAACTATGTCTGTTTTGCGTTAAGGTTGCTCCTAGCCTCGTGTTGACCCCCTTTGGCGGTTTATTGTCTGCTGGTGCAGAAACCGTACTCTGCAAATTTACTTTGAGTGGAGCTGGACGTCCAAGCATGTTGCCTCACCTCGCAGCTCCTGTTCGAGATCTAGCCATTTCTGAAGATGCCAGTCATCTTGCAGTCATACTGGGTAATTTATTTTCGGAGCAAATGTTACTATTGGCTGCTATCTTTACTAAGGCACTAGTGTTTTCAGAGGATAACTCGGTGCATATTGTGATAACTTCAAGCATGACCTTGCTTTCTTCCTTGCAAACAGTAGTCACGTGTGATCGCTCACTGAACACTGTCTTCTGCGGGTACGTCGCTACACACTTTCTGAATGATTTTTTTTTGCAAAGTAGCTGTTCAATCCCGGGGTCACTGGTCTCGAGAAATGAGGTTTTTGAGCACCTTTTCATCTTAAATTTCCCCTTTCCTCTTCGCTTTCTTTTTTAACGAGGCCCATTTTTGTCTGGTATTCTCACTTATTCACTTCTTTTTCGCAATACACTCTTTTCGTGTTTTTTAGATATTACTCCTCCCAAACCTTTCGATACTTCAAAACTTTTGCCTCTATCGTACACTGTTTTCTTGATCGTATTTCATTATATTCTTACTCATCTCTTGATTTCCTTTTAGTATTTTGTTATGTATTCACTAGTTTCCAGTTGGACAGAGCGACCCTCCACTTCTTTGATATCGTCCAGTTGTAAGCGTATATTTACAGCGATCCTCTTTGGCCGGGAGCTTTGGTGATGAATGGTAAACCCGGTTCGTTGCAGTGGATAGATTGTGAGAAGTCGTTGACACGACAGCAAGTTGGTCCATCTTGAAATAGCAGTTTACTGCTTATTTTTCGTTTGAATTTTCATAGGTTACATATTTAAAAGAAAATAGCATCACTATGATATCACTTTTCTCAAACATTGGGACATTTTGGCTAGTACAGAATGATTTAATGAATAGGAACGGTCGATTTTAGCAGTTTTTGGATTGTTGTGGTCGATGTGGAAGGAAAACTGCCTATTGTAATATTCATTTGTAATAGAATTGTGTTGGATCGGTGACTATACTGTAGGCAAATAGATTCGGATGTGAACAGAGATCTGAAAACAAAACCATTTTAGTTACTAACAATGCTTCCTCGATGGTGAAGAGTGAACCTTATCAACTTCAGGTCAGCTTCTCACTAGAAAACGTAGCTGATGGCGACATGTCGTTCACTGGCATTACTTCAACTTTTCCGGATGTCGAACGGGTGTTTTTCTTGGATTCAGTAGTGGTCACTTTGGAACGAATCATCAACTTTGATGAAGATCATGTGAGTTTGCTCTCTCTCTTCCTTTTGAGTGCTATCAGGAAATGAAGGCCTATTGGCATCTCTCGTACGAAGCATATGCGATTGCATAAATAGGCGCAAAGGGCGCGACGGACCTTGGATTATCACACCTATGGCAAATATATTAGTAAACTCGAAAATGGGTTCCTCATTTTTGAGTTGCTCTCAGTCAAGTGGCGCAGTCTGCAAAAAGATGCATTAATTTTGCTGCTGAGGCATATTTTTGCAGTGCAGCAATAGTGATGCCTGTGCTGAGCTGAGAACCTGGAATGGAGCCGAAGGGTGCAATGCGTGTTTCCTAATAACTCAGATCAA